AAAGACGCTTACTCCTTGGAAGGAAAGTTATGACCAACCTAGACAGAATGCTAAAAAGCAGAGACATTACTTTGTCAACAAAGGTCCATCTAGTCAAGGCTATGGTTTTTCAAGTGGTCATGTATGGATGTGAGAGTTGGACTATAAAGAAAGCTGAGTGCCAAAGAATTGATGCTTTTGAACTGTGGTGTTGAGAAGATTCTTGAGAGTCCCTTGGACTACAAGGATATCCAACCTGTCAATACTAAAGGAAATGAGTCTTGGGTATTCATTGGAAGGACTGATGTTGAAGCTGAAACTCCAATACTTTGGCCACCTGATGCGAAGAACTGACTCATTTGGAAAGACCCTAAAGCTGGGAAAGATTGAAGGTAGGAGGAAAAGGGGATGACAGAGGATAAGGTGATTGGATGACATCTCTGACTCAATGGAAATGAGTTTGAGTAAACTCTGGGAGTTGGTGATGGTCAGGGAGGCCTGGTGTGATGCAGTCCGTGGGGTTTTAAAGAGTCAGATGCGACTGAGACCCTGGTGTCTGTTCCCTCCCCAGACACAATGGGGCGAAAGTAGCAGCTTATTAAGGCTCACTTACTCCGTTGGACTGGAAAGAGGGAGAGGTATGTCAGACACAGCATGGTATGTGGGGAGTGCCCACTGTGGCTGAGATCTGCAGCAAGTGGCCACAGTCTGAGGTGGGTCATGTGTTTCCCCAGAGGAATTGGTCCCAGATCTTGGGTCCCTCAGCAGGGCCAAGTTGCGCAGATTCCCAGGAGGGTGTGAGCAGTGATTTGTACCTGAACGCAGCTTGGTGGAAGCTGTGAGCCCTGAGGCTGAAACTGCAGTAGCCTCCTGTCCTCTGCCTCTGGCATCTACCCTGGCCCTGGTGGTGGCCAAGTGGCCCGTGTTCCCCCTCTGGGATCACAAATGCAGGTATGTGTAGTCTCACCTCTGGCACTTACGCCGGCTTTGGGATATCTACCTCAGGTTGCAATCCACAGCCTTGACTCATGCCACTTATGGCACTGACAAAGGTGATGTCCTAGATCTGCCAGCATGCAAAGTTAGGGAGTCTCTTGCCTCTGTGGCAGGCCCAGGCTTTTCTCTGGACTCCCTAAGCTGTCATACTCGCCTCCTCAGAGTATCTTCACAACAACTCAACCCCGGTCGTCTCCCAAGGGTCCAACCCCCAAAACTTGAGCCTCAGCACCCAGCTCCCACTCATTGCAGTGAGCGTGCAATCAGTCTCAACTGGAAAGTGTTGATCAGCAATTATCTATGTGGTGAATCATCTCCATTCTACCTGCTGAGGATCTGTTGATGTGTTCCTCTCTGAGGCTCTGAAGCTCTGCCCATCCCTGCCCATGAAGGGGTTTCCAAGTATGCAGAAACTTCTCGTCCTTCTTGACTTCCTCCCCAAGGCACAGGTCCCTGTCCCAAGTCCTTTGTCTCTTCATTTTTCCGTAGCTTCTGTCCTACCTCATTCTGTGGAGGTAAGCTTGCCTTTTTGGAAGTCTGGGGTCTTCTGCCAGTGTCTAAAAGTCTTCTGCAAGAGTTGTTCCATATGTAGATGTATTTTTTTTAATGTAAATGTGGGGAGGAAGGTGATCTCTCCATCTTGCTCCTCCACCATCTTGAAATTTCCTCCTGTATATTAATTTTGTATCCTCCAACTTAAGTGAAGTTATTGATGAGTTTTAGTAGGTTTTTTGTAGTGTCTTTATCTCATCTGCAAGCAGTAACAACTTTAAATATTCCTTTGAAATTTGAATTCCTTTTATTTCTTTATTTCTTGTTTGATTGTTGTGACTAGGACTTCTAATATGTTAAATAAAAATGGGGAGAGTGGATATCTTTGTCTAGTTCATATATCTATGATTATTGTAATTTACTGATCTAAGTTTAACTACATTTTAATAACACTGCATTTCCTCCCCACTGCCATGTTTAAAATTTTGACATCATATTTCACAACTTTTTGTTTTGTATATCCTTTAACATCTTATTGCATATATAGATGATTTGACAACTTTTATCTCTTAACCTTCCTACTAGCTTGATATGTTACCTTTACTGTATATTTACCTTTACTAATAAGATTTTTCCTTTTATGTTTCTTTTCTTTTTACTTGGAAAAGTCCTTTTAGTGTTTGTTTTAAAGCTGGTTTGCTGGTGCTGAACTCTTTTATCTTCTGCTTGCCTATGAAACTTTTAATGTTTCCGTGAAATCTGAATAAATGCTTTGCCAGCTAGAGTATTCTTGGTTATAGAGTTTTTTTTTTTCTCTTCATTTTAAACATATCATGCCTCTCTCTTCCCGTCTGCAGAGTTTCTGTGGACAATTCAGCTGATAGCCTTAAGGGAATTCCCTTGTATATATGTTGCTTTAACCTCGCTGATTTTAATATTTTCTCCTCACCTTTAATGTTTGCCAACTTAATTACAACGTATCTTAGTGTGGTCCTCTTTGGGTTTACTCTTTTGGGGACTCCATATGCTTCCTGGACCCAGATGTCTGTTTCCTTACTGGAGTTAGGGAAGTTTTTAGCTATTTAGCTATTATATCTTTAAATACATTCTTTGCTCCCCTTTCTCTCCATTCTCCTCCCGGGACCCACTATAATGATATGATGAATGATAACATGCTTGATATTCTTCCAGAGTTCTCTTAAACTGTACTCAATTTTTTTCTTTTTTTATTCTGTTCAGCTTCAGTGATTTCCATTACTCTGTCTTCCAGCTCAGTGGTCTTTTCCACTGTATCATTTGATGTACTGTTGACTCCTTCTGCTGTATTTTTCATTTCAATTATTTCACTCTTCATACTCTCTTTGATTGTTCTTTATATTTTCTAATTTTTTGTTAAAAACTTCTAGTTTCTCACTCTGTACATCCCGTCTTCTCCTGAGTTTTTTTTTTTTTTTTTGAGCATCTTTGCTGTCATCTTTATGAGCTATTTATTGGGTAGATTGCCTATCTCCATTTCACTTACTTCTTCTGAGGTTTTAGCTCCTTTCATCATTTGAAACATATTCTTCTGTAGCCTCATTTTGTCTAACTTCCTCCTTTATTTCCCTGTATTTGCTACATTTGTTACATTTCCTGACCTTAGAGAAATAACTTTTTGTTTAACATACCCTATTTGTCCCTCCAGTGCTCCAGTACATCCCTTCTGGTCACCAGAGCTGTAAGCTCTAGGAGCACAAACCCTCCTGTAAATTCTGTTTGTGAGGGATCCAGGTTGTGTTTTCCTCATGAGAATCTAATGCCTGATGATCTGAGGTGGAGCTGAGATGGTGACGCTAGTGCTGCAGGGTGGCTGCAAATGCAGACTGTCCTTAGCAGAGAGGTTTGACTGCACAGAGAACATAATAAAGCATTTGCTTGCAGACATATCAAAACCCTTTTAGTGAATGGCAAATGGCAAGCTGCATCTGGTGGCAGGATTTTAGTGGCAAGTGAGTTGATGTACTTTAAGTTTACAGCTGCACCTGATGGCCGGCTTTCAGTCTGAATTCAACACTTATTTTAGTCCTCATGTGGCCTGCCTATTATTTTATTTGCCACTACATCCAGGTCTGTCTTTCTCACTGTGTGCTAGTCTTGGTCACAATTTTGGTAAGTCCATAAGTTAACCCTTGCCAAAATGATTAAAATACAAATGTCACTGGAGTGAAAAATTGAAAAGTTGGAAAGACCCAATGATGAGACAGCAGAAGACTATAAGATTGTAGGCAGAAAGAAAACTGCATTTAAAGAAAGTACCAAGTCCTCTTAAATTACAAGCTCATTGCACAGGTAATTCACATTCTCCAAGCCTGCTTTGTATAATATGTGGTGACTAACTATTCAACAAAGCCATGAAACCTTTAAAATTTTCTTGTCACATAGAGAAAAAAGTACCCTGCATTAAACGTCAAGCCTTTGGATTTTTTCAAAAGAAAAATATATTACACAAAGAAAAGAAACAATTTTTGAAGGCCACCACTTCATCAAATATGTCTGAACTGAGAAGATCATTCTTAGTGGCTAACCACATTGCTAAAGCTAAGAAGCCCTTTACTATATTACTGGTGAAGAGTTGATCCTGCCTGCTGCTAAAGACATTTTGTTGTTAACTTTTAAGAGAGGTTGCAGTTCAAAAGGGGACACATGTTCTTCTCTCAGCTAGTGTCATAACTGGACGAGCTGATGAAATGGCAGAAGATATTGATGCACTATTGTTGGGATTAATGAGTCACCCTGGTACCTAATGCAGACTGAAGAGTCTACTGAAGTGGGTTGCCATGTCCTTCTCCAAACTTCAAATCTCCATACATTCTGGTGGGATATCTGGAGATTGCCTCAAAAGCATTGAAAAGCCTGCTTCCATTTCCAACATCCTAACTTTGTGGAGCAGAGTTTTCTACAGTGGCTGGAACCAAAATGAGATTACAGAGTAGACTGAGAATCAGCAGCAGACTCTGAGTGTCACTGTTTCTCATCACTCCCAAATGGGACTATCTATGTACTAATGTGCTAAGTTGTTTTAGTTGTGTCCAACTCTCTACAACCCTATAGACCACAGCCCACCAGGCTCCTCTGTCCATGGGATTCTCCAGGCAAGAGCACTGGAATGGGTTGCCGTGCCATCCTCCAAGGGATCTTCCTAACCCAGAGACTGAACCCATGTCTCTTATGTCTTCTGCATTTGTAGGCAAGTTCTTTACCACTAGCACCACCTGGGAAGCCTCAGTTAGTTGCAGGAAAACAAGCTCAGGTCTCTCACTGATTCTGCATTTTAGTGAATTATATAATTATTTCCTTATATATCACAGCATAATAATAGAAACAAAGTGCACGATAAATGTAATGTGCTCAGATCTTCCTGAAACCATCCCCCCACCCCAGTGTGTGGTCTATATAAAGGTGTAACACTGTATGTTATTTTTCTCTTGTAGGCACATCCCTAACTTGACAGATGGGGAATGACTATAAGAAAATTATCCTGCTAAAAGGATTTCAGCACATCAATGATAAATGTTTTAACATGATTAAGTCTTTACTGGCTGAGGATTTAAAACTGAATAGCAAAATGCAAGATGAATACGACAGAGTTAAAATTGCTAACTTGATGGAAATGAAGTTCCCAGGACCTGAGTGTGTTAACAAGCTAATAGAGTTGGTCAAAGAAATAGATGAAATTAAAGACCTTGCCAAAATTCTTAGAAATGAGAAGTTGAAAGGTAACTGGAAGAACCCTTATTTCTCACTCTCTCTCACTGACCTCGGCTTTGACCTTGAACTGGTCAAAGTTTAGACCTCTCTTTTCCAACTTGGGACTCAGTAGCCATGACAATGGTAGAATTTTAGATGCCAAAAATTAATAACTTAGAGGATGTGTTTCCTCCAAAGAAATCTGATGTGTTTTAAAGGGTGTATTCTGGGGGTGTGAGCAAAGAAAATAGTAGAAGTTGATGAGAAAGTCTGAGGCTTCCATGCATTATAAAGTTTAGACAATGATGAAACAAAATTAGAACATGTAGGTTTTTGAAATATTTAAACCAGTTAATATGCATGCTCTATTATCACATTTACTTCATCATTTTTATACTTTCTAGAAATAAATATGAAACAGTACTTAAGCAAAAATCTACCTCTCAGAGATGTGAAGAACTCACCTCTTATAAAACCGCTGGATTAGAAGATATATTTGAAAAAGTGAAATCCAGTATCACCATTTTGTCCCATCACAAGTTAGATTATATTTTCCTTCTTTGGTTTCAATAATTCAAATAGATCTTATATAGGCATTGACCCATGACTAGCATCATGAAATTTTAGTTTATTAAGAGGAAGATAAAGAATACAAGAGTTGTAAAAGGATTCGACTGAGATAGATGAGTCCAGAGGATAGAAAGAGTATGCTTGCTGTACAGGGGACAAGAAAGGAAACCACTGAGGGTGTTCGAGTCAGAATCTGAACCTATGTTGCTACTTTTGGCCACCTTTGGCCAAGTTAGGCTAATGCAGTGGAGGTAGATACAACCATACCCAGATCCACCAGCAGGAACTGAAAGGAAACAGTATTGAAGGTGCTTCATGTATCTCGACCAGCTCCTTTGGATTTACCATGTTCTCTTTTACTACATCAGTTTTAAAGAAAAACAAGGAAAAAGGAGCAACTCCAGTGCAAAAACGCAAGCAGGATAAGTCCAATCTTGGCCAATCCACATCCACCGCAAATGAAGCTTTGGGACCTGAATCAGTCAAGGATACACCTGTGAAGGTAGGATGGCTAAGGTCCCACAGAAGGAGTTTTTTTTCTATGGCTCTTTTTATGAACACTTAGTCCTTTATTCATTTCTCAGTGTACAAATAGAAGAATCAGAGAAAAGGGGATCCAGGGGCAGAGTGAAAATGAGTTTCAGAGTCAGTAAATTAATAGGTACTGACTAACCATTATGTTTCTGAACTACTGTGCACTTTAATTTGTATAATATAATTCTGAATGATGGAAATATGGAATCATTACTCCTCTTCTAGAAGTGTATTAAAACAGCAATCAGATTAAGAAAACAGTTTACTGAAGTTTGCCAAAGCCTACCTGGATAATCACGATGGTATGGTCACTCACCTAGAGAGAGACATCCTGGAGTGTGAAGTCAAGTGGGCTTAGGAAGCCTTACTATGAACAAACCTAGGAGGTGATGTAACTCCAGCTGAGTTATTTCAAATCCTTAAAGATGATGCTGTTAAAGTGCAGCAAATGGCAGTGGCCAAAGGACTGGAAAAGGTCAGTTTCATTCCAGTCCCAAAGAAAGATAATGCCAAAGAATGTTCAAATTACTGTACAATTGCACTCATTTCACATGCCACCAAGATTATGCTCAAAATCCTTCAAGCTAGGCTTCAGCAGCATGTGAACCAAGAACTTCCTGTTGTACAAACCAGATTTAGAAAAGGCAGAAGAACCAGATGTACAAACCAGATTTAGAAAAGGCAGAAGAACAAGAGATCAAATTGCCAAATACTGCTGGATCATAGAAAAAGCAAGGGAATTCTAAAGCAAAATAAAACAAACAAACAAACAAACAAAAAAACAACAAAAAGAACACTCAGATGGTAAAGAATCTGTCTGCAATGCAGGAGACCTGAGTTTCATTCCGGGGTTGGGACAATCCTCTGGAGAAAGGAATGGCAAACCACTTCCGTATTCTTGCCTGGAGAATCCCAAGGACAAAGGAGCTTGGTGGGCTACAGTCCATGGGGTCAACAAGAGTTGGACATGACTGAGTGATTAACACTTTTAACTTTGAGCTCTACTTCATTAACTATGCTAAAGCCTTCGACTGTGTGCATGCTCAGTCACTCAGTTGCGTCCGACTCTTTGTGACCCTATGGGCTATGGCCCACTAGGCTTCTCAGTACATGGGGTTTTCCAGGCAAGAATACTGGAGTGACTTGCCATTTCCTTCTCCAGGGGAACTTCTTGACCCAGCGATTGAAACCATGTCTTCTGCATCGCCTGCACTGGCAGGCAGATTCTTTCCACTGAGGCACCTGGGAAGCCCTTGTCCCACAGTGCTTGCTGCACATGCATGTCATCCCTCTGTGTCGCTGCCAGCCCTCCCCCACTCTGACTGTGTGAATCATAACAAACTGTGGAATATTCTTAGCGAGATGGGAATACCAGACCACATTACCCGCCTCCTGAGAAAACTGTGTGCAGGAAAAGAAGCAATAGTTAGAATTGGACATGGAACAAGGGGCTGGTTCAATTTGGGAAAGGAGAACCATAAGGGTGTATGTTGTCACTCTGCTTATTTAACTTATATGCAGAGTACATCATGAGAAATGCCAGGTTGGATGAAGCACAAGCTGGAATCAAGATTGCCAGGAGAAACAAATAACCTCAGATATGCAGATGACATCACCCTTATGGCAGAAAGTGAAGAGGAACTAAAGAGCCTCTTCATGAAGGCGAGAGAGTGACAAAGCTGGCTTAAAACTTGACATTCAGAAAATGAAGATCATGGCATCCTGTACCACCACTTCATGGCAAATAGATGGGGGAAAAGAGGAAACAGTGAGAGATTTTATTTTCTTGGGCTCCAAAGTCACTGTGGATGGTGGCCAAAACCATGAAAATAAAAGATGCTTGCTCCTTGGAAGAAAAGCTATGGCAAGCCTAGATAGCATATTAAAAAGCCAAGACATCACTTTGCTGACAAAGGTCCTTATAGTCAAACCTATGGTTTTTCCAGTAGTCATGTACTGATGTGAGAGTTGGACCACAGAGATGTCTGAGTGCTGAAGAACTGATGCTTTGAAATTGTGGTGCTTAGGAAGACTTTTGAGAGTCTCTTGGACAGCAAAGAGGTCAAACTAGTCAATCTTAAGTGAAGTCAACCCTGAAAATTAACTGGAAGGACTGATGCTGAAGTTGAAGCTCCAGTACTTTGGCTACCTGATGCAAGGAGCTGACTCTTTGGAAAAACCCTGATGCTGGGAAAGATTGAGGGCAGGAGGAGAAGTGGGCAAGAGAGAATGAGATTAACTAGAATGAGTATAACTAGAATATATTAATAAAAAGTTGATTTTCTCAGTAGTGAAGATGTATTTCATTTCTCATTGAAAACTACTAACCAGGCAGGGAAAATCCTACTTTCAGAAAAAGAAAACCACCAAAACTAATGAATCTAAGAGGATGAAGCTAACCGAGGAACAGAGTCAGCTTCCAGGATTGTCAGTAACGAGCACAGTGTCAACCGCGCGCCTTCCCAAGACTCCTCAAATGCCTCCATCAAAGCCATCCAGCAGTTCCTCAACCAAGGTACCGTTTTCCTGTTCCTAATATGTGTCCCTCCCTACATCATATTACAAAAATACTCATGACCCTGAAAGAATCTCTCAGTATTCTCTTCCTAGATACAAACTTCTTTATGCAATCAAATCACCCAAAAACTTATTAAATAAAATATTGAGGCCAATTAAATAAATGAATTAAAAAGATGCTGAGGCCTCAGTGTATTATAAATCCTTGGACTTTTGGAAATTTTTACATTTATGAATAATTGCTGACCTTACAAATGTAATGGTCTTATGGAGGTGGCCAGACAATTGGACAGGAATGTAAGGGTATGTTTATCCCCTACACTTCGGTTTCCTTTCACCCCTTTTCTCTTAACCGCACCTCTAGATTAGTTCTCAGCATTCTATTCTCCTTCCCACGTCAGATATTTGCACACAGGCTAATTCATTGATTTGTATTAATGATTCATGTTGCTTTAATGGCTAAATTAATTCAACCATCAGGTACCAGCCTGAATTCCTTCCTCAGCATGTCCTCACCAAGACAACCCCTCCCCAAAACTTATAGATAGTCTCATTTTTTATTGCCTTTATAGAACCCTTTACTATTTCTTTATAGTATGTATCATGACTGTAATAAATTTGTTTTTCTTCCCTTCTAGACAATGATCTTGGAGTATAGGTACTTTATAAAAAAGGAATACAAGACAGGGGTGGGAAAGTGAGTCCATAGCTATAGGCATCAACCTCTATCCCAGCCTGATTTTTATTTTGCCCTGGGTTACATGAAACCTGGGACTATGGAGCATGTGTCTGAGATGAATGGGCAGGGAAAGATTCCCCCAAGATAAGTGTCAGTGTTTGGCAAGGGCAAGATTTAAACCACAATCTCTAACACAGTTTCTTTCCCAAGACTCAAGCTGTCCTCTAACTCAGGCTATATCCTCATCACAACCCCCACACATTCCACTTGAGGACAGAACCCCTAGATGAGGGGACTTTAAATTTGTGGCTTTGTTGTGGTTGTTGTCATTGTTCTTATTAGTTACAAGAGTCCATATTTCTCCCAGTAATCTTTCTCAGAAGATCAGTAGGTTTGTAGAAGCCTGTAGAATAGATATTAGAAACCCACTTTTGTCTTTTCTTGATGAGAAAGTCATAGTTAAGAAACATCCTTAAGTGCAGCCAACTTTGGGCTGAGATTTGCTTCTCTTATAGCTGGGGAAGGTTATCTACTTGCTTTGGCCAGTTTGCATCAGATGTAGGACTCAGATTCCATCCCCAAACCAATGAAATTTTGTCTGAGCTTTTAATATTTGGAGAGTAAAATTTATAATCCTAGTTGAGATAGGTAAAGGATAAGAAATACAGGTATCTGAATATGTGCTATTAGTTTAGAAAAAATTAAAAAGTTCAGATTCAACATTTAAAAAGAGGAAAGATGCTGTATTCTGAGTGATTTTGAAAATCATTTTCAAGAACTAAGAAAAAAATCTATTTTCCTCCAGAAAAAAAGTGACACACCCACCAAACCTAACAACATAAAAGGAAAGATGATATCTCATAACCAGAGTCCGCTTCCAGGAACTTCAGCAACCAGCTTGTGCCCAACTGTGAGCAGTAAGCAGATCACTCCAATGTTTCCACCGACACCATTCCGCAATTTCTCAAGCAAGGTACCAGGTTTTGATTCTATTCCTTGTACTTCTTACAACATAAGTACAAGAACTATCATCTTTGAATTTCCTATTTATTCCCATTATCTCATTTATTATTTATTATAATCACTCCCTCATTTATCAGTGTTTAGTCTGTGATTCCACTCTATTCTAACTCCTTGTTAATTTGGCTATTTTCCAAAGCATGAGTTCATGAAACCTCCAATTTTGAGAGGTTTACTCTCTTGTATTGAATAGAAAGAGGAGGGAAAGGTGACCAAATAGGTCAAAATGAGTGTGTCTTTACTTCATACATTCCACTTTCCTTTGGCCCTCTTCCCATTTGCTCACTGACCACATGACAGGGTTTATTTTCAAAGTCCGATGCTCCTTCTCAGGTCAGATGTTTTGACATAGACACTTCCCATGTTTGAAATCACTTGTCTTGAGTTGAAAACTAATCTCTTCCTAGGGCAAGTCCTCACTGATACCTGCCCACTCTCAGAATATATTAGGTATTCCTCTTGTTTGCTTTCAAAGGTCAGTTCACTTTCCCTTTTTTTAGCATTTATTGCAACTGTAATCAGAGAAGGAAATGGCAACCCACTCCACTGTTCTTGCCTAGAGAATCCTGTGGACAGAGGAGCCTGGTGGGCTGCTGTCCATAGGGTTGCACAGAGTCAGACACGACTGAAGCCACTTAGCATGCATGCACACATTGGAGAAGGGAATGGCAACCCACTCTAGTGTTCTTGTCTGGAGAATCCCAGGAACAGAAGAGCCCGGTGGGCTGCCATCTATGGGGTTGCACAGAGTCGAACACGACTGAAGCAACTTAGCAGCAGCAGCAGCAACTATAATAAATGTACATTTTTCTTTGTTACTGGACTATAATATAAATTATAAGGTGCCTGTCAACTGAAAAAATGCACAACCTAAAAGTTAAGAGTTATGTTTTATTCAGCAGACAAATATGAGAATTTACAATGGGGACACATATTCTCAGATAGCTCTGAGAGAGCTGCTCTGCAGAAGCAAGGTGGGGAGGCAGGTTATACGGGAATCTTGTAACAAAGAGCAGGCAGTCAGAACTTCAAAATGTTACTGTTTGTAAAGAGAACCTGATATCTCAAGTTAAGAAATTTAACACATTTTTATATACAGAAAGATGCAAGGGTCTGAGCTCACTGAAATAGTCCCTTTGCTATAAAGTTCGGCTATCTGGGATGAGTATCTTGTGCTTCATCACCCTGAATCTCCTGAGGGTGCGCCGTCAGGATTGGCTGCAGCGGTTGACTGCTTGATGGAGGGCATTCTGCTTCTATCCTGAGTTCCCTCAGGACTTGCAGTTTGGGCAGCTGTAATGTGATGGCTTGATGGCCACAACATCCTCAGTTTACTGATAGAGCAGGCAGCATTTTTCATTCATAGTGCCCTAGGCCCAGGATAAGACCAGATCAGGATGGAAAAGTGAGCGCACACACACATGTGCATCAACTCCTATCCTCACCTGCCTTTATTCTGTCCTGATATGACCCTTGTGGTTACCATCACACTGGGGTACAACACCTATTCCTGCAGCAAATAAGCAAGTGACAGGAGGAATAGGCCAAAGCAGCATTTAAATCACGAAAATAGTTTGTCACCCAAGTTCCAAGCTGCCCAGGCTGAAGCCCTCTCTACGAATCCAAGCATACCAGTTGAAGACATTTCTTTTGACAAAATTGTTCAAGTTTTAACGTGTTATTGTTTTTATTACTGTTAACTCTGATAATTAGTAATGCCTTATGTAGTCTCTCTTTGTTTTATTTATGGGATAGAGCTAGTAATCTGTGCCTGTTTGCCTCTAGGTCCAGATGGCCTTGGTCTAGTCATTGAAACCTCAGACCCACTGTTAGTCTGCTATGACAATGACATGCATTTACACCACAAGTCAACTCTACTTTTCTATGCATACAGCTTAGAATTGACACTCTCTAAGGTTGCATCTGCCTAAACTTGTGAAATAGTCATTTCTACTTTCATATGAATCATTCTCCTGCCCCCCAAATTCCTGGGAGCATAGGAATCCCAGAGAGGCCTGTCTATCCCCTTGGCCTCATACACCTAGACACACCTTGCAGACAGTTCTCCTTTGGGGTCTAGCCACTTCAGTAGGAAGCATGGAACAAAAGGATCTGGCCATTCTGCTGGGAAAGAGCAGGAAAGCCTTGCTCCTTCATCATAGGGTCTTCCAACTATTTTTTCTGTGATATAGGCTATGTTTGGGATTCAGAGACCAGACCAATATTTTCTTTGATTCCTACTGCTGTGTCTCCCTCAAAGCAAATACCACATATTGGCATGATTTAAGAACCAGGTAGAGTTGTGAAGAAAATAAGCTAAGAGAAAAAAATTAGTTATTATCTTTAAATACTATCCACCCAAATAGTGTATTTTAGGGATATAAATCCTGCTTTTATGATGGAAGTTTTTGTTTTAACTGATTGTGAAAACCAATCATGATGCTCTTGTCAATGTGATTAAATTAGTAGTAGAGGTGAATAGAAAAGTTTCTTTAATAAAGTGCTTCCGATACCACTTCTACCTGGGGTTTCCATCAAGAAGCCCAGGATTAAGCATGAATATCTGTGGATCAGAGCAGAAATAGAAACCCCTATGTCTACTGTAAAATAATAATGCAGTGATATTTCTATGTATGAGCACTTAATGGTGCTAGACTTTTAAGATGTGGGTTCTTTGTGTACATTATCTCATTTATTCTTTATAACACCACATGAGGATGCTATTGTTAATCCCACTTGACATATGAAAATACTGAAGTTCCTAGAGGTTAAAAAGCTTCTCCTAAGCCATGCAGAAAATAAACATCAGAGCCAGGATTCAAATCTAGTCTAACTGAATTCTGAAACATGAGCATTTAATGGCATATATTGCTCCCACAGTCAGAGGATAGACTGCTACAATATCTGAAATTTACCTCTAAAAATTTATATCAGATAATGTTATGTCTCAGATTTGTTTTCATATCCTAGGTTCTCAAGCCTTCTAATGAGAAATGAGGTGACAAGAGAGGTGAGAGAGTATCCTAATCAAGAAGCTACATGTCAGAGACAGTCATTTTAATCAGGTCCCTCATCTAAAGTTTTGTCAACAGCTGATACTTTATGCATTGGTTAAATGAATGCTCGAAGTGGTAAGAACTGTGGCAATTCTATACTGTGCGTGTTAAGTTGCTTCTGTCGTGTCTGATGCTTTGTGACCCTATGGACTATGACCTGCCAGGTCCTCTGTCGATGGGATTCTCCAGGCAAGAATACTGGAGTGGGCTGCTATGCCCTCCTCCAGGGGATCTTCCTGACCCAGGGATAGAATCTGTGTCTCCTGCACCTCCTGCATTTCAGGCAGATTCTTTACCGCTGAGGCACTGGTGAAGCCCTCTATACTGTAGAATATTAGAAATAGTCTTTCATGGGTAAAACCAGAGATAGTCAAGATAAACTATTTCATAAACACTTCCTGCCCTGGCTTAAACAAGTGTAAAAATTCAAGTACTAAAATTGTATATGTATGGGTCTGTACCCTGGGTGAAATTGCAAATGGATTTGTGCATCTTTCTTAATGATGAAAGATTTGGTGGCCTGATAGAGACTATGCAGACAACAGAATCCCGCCTAAGGGTTTATGACTTTGAGGGAATATCTCTGGTATGTTGACAAACAAAGCATTCAAATGAATGGAGACCTGGGTTTCCTAGATTTGAAGAGTAGAGGATGGAAACCATTTTGCTTATTTGGTAAACACGTGAGGTAATGAAAGACTTAATGAGTAAAAGCATTCATGAATGCAGCCTATGCTGTTCTGAGACCATTATAACCTGATAGAATTTTCCACTATTATATTACCCCAAGTGTTGTCTTAGTGAAGTTGCAGCCGAGGTGGAGCCAGAATTCCAGAACAGACCAATGACATTGCCATTACCTGCGTTTTAACATCTGCGGAGAGAAGTTTGCAACCTAGTGGGGCTCCAAGCTGGGGAGGTATTGGGAGTGTCAGAAGATGTGCTCTTATTCCAGACAAATTTGTTATTCCAGAGAAAATTGGTAGAGTGTGGATACTGTGGTGTGTCTGTGAGATAGAAAGACAGACAGATACAGAGACAGATAGAGGGTAAGAGAGAAATGTTATTGTTCATATGATATTGAAAATCATTAACCAGAAAGAAGAAACTGCATGTATTTCAATTGGAAAAATAGAAGACATAACCGCTAGAACTGCTGACCCCAAGATGGAACTATCCCTGGAGCAGAGTCAGCTTCTGGAAGTTCCAACATGCAGCAAAACCTCAATTGAGAATTACTTCCAGACTCCTCAGAAGCTGCCACCAACCACATCCAGCAGTTCCTCAACTAAGGTACCAGATTCTCATTTTCAGTATTTCCCTCTTCTTACAATATAATGACAGGGACCAGTAGAACCATAAAAGAGCTTCTCACTAATCTCTGACAGCATCCAATTCTTTATTAATTAGGTCACACATGTTGTTACTGAGTGTGTACTTTGAGATGCTACTGGCATTCAAATTCTGACTCTCACTACGCTGTCCTTTGCTTTAGGATAATCTATGGCCTAGTGTGCACTTAAATCATTCCTCTTCAGTGGTGGGTATAATTAGTAATTTGTTTAATTTTATTTTTGTGTTTCCTTCAATACTATGAAAGAAAGTTTTCTTATAGTTTTCTCACTATGAAAGAGAGAACTTAGGGTGCAATAGGGTAGAGAAATATAGAAACACAGCACTATCATCTTTCTCTTTTTTCTTTTGGAAATAATATCATCCATATTAGGATGCAGAAATTTAGGAAATGTAGATACATGGACAAAGATAATTAGTGTTAACTGTCTGAAATCTCCCCTCTATCACACACTCTCTTTTGGTAAATAGACTTTCTGATTGTACCTTTTGTTATGTATACACAAGGAATATCAATTTGTTTCAGGTTGATCACATTACACATATTTTTCTATAATTCAGTCTTTTTCTTTCATCTTGAAATGCTATTCAAGAAATGTAGATTTAAATTATTATTTTAACATAAAAGAATAATTGCATGATTATTTTATAAGTTAAACAATAATTATTTGCTATTTGACCTTAGGCTATTTCAGTATTCCACATACATACAATGAACATAATAAGAACCTGTGTCCATCAGGTCTACTTTCATGAGCCTGTGTATAGAACATAATTTTTTTCTTAAGTCCTGTGTACTTCTTCTCAAGATGCTGCTCATATTACTAGTAAGAAATTTGTTGTTACTGATTAACTTGTCCTGGGAATGAGCACTTGGATATGGGGAGAATTGGCCACAGTGATGAAAATGTTATCAGAGTTGAGCCCCGCGACCCACAGGTCATAGCTTGTACGCTTGTGCAGGTCAGACCACAAGGAGCACGGCTGCTGGTGTGTGGAGGCGGCTGTCCTGTCTCCATGAACTGGTCCCTAGGGCTCTCATAGCCTGCCTTTGCCTTCATACTTCCTCTTACAGATCAGTGGCCTCCCTTCCAATTCAAACCGCTCTTCTAAAACTCAGAAATGGTGCCACCCACTGGGTAGATAGGAGGTCATAGAAAAGCTCCTTGGCACCTGACTTCCCTTTTGGCATTCTTCTCCTCAGGATCCTGCCATTATTCTATCAGGAGTGTGTAGAGGAGGAAAAATAATTTCCCCTCCGCCCTTCTAAGCTCTTAGCTGAGATCCCTTTTTTAAAACAAAGATTGTTGTTGTTCAAGTGCACAGTCGTGTCTGACTCTTTGTGACCCCATGGATTGCAACACCTCAGGCCTCCCTGTCCCTCGCCACCTCCTGGAGTTTGCCCGATTTTTGTCCATTGCATCAGTGATGCCATCCAGCCATCCAGCCATCTCATCCTCTGATGTCCTAGAAGAGGGCAGCTTCCTGCTGCCCTCAATCTTTCCCAGCATCAGGGACTTTTCCAATGAGTTGGCTATTCATATCAGGTGACCAAAATACTGGAGATTGAGCTTCAGCATCAGTCCTTCCAATGAGTATTCAGGGTAGATTTCCTTTAAGATTGACTGGTTTGATCTCCTTGCTGTCCAAGGGACTCTCACGAGTCTTCTCCAGCACCACAGTTCAAAGGCATCAATTCTTTGGCACTCTGCCTTCTTACGATCCAACTCTCACAACCATATGCGACAATTGGGAAGACCATAATCTTGACTGTATGGAACTTTGTCAGCAGAGTGATGTCTCTGCTTTTCAACACACTGTCGGGGTTTGCCACTGCTTTCTGCCAAGAAGCAATCATCTTCTGATTTCATGGGTGCAGTCACCAACCACAGTGGTTTTAGAGCCCAAGAAGAGGAAATCTGTCACTGCTTCCACCTTTCCCCCTTTTATTTGCCATGAAGTAATGGGGCCAGATGCCATGATCTTAGGTTTTTTTTTTTTTTTTTTTTTTAGTTTTAAGCTGGCTTTTCCAATCTCTTCTTTCATATGCATCAAGAGGTTCTTTAGTTCCTCTTCACTTTCTGTCATTGGAGTGGTATCTTTGTTAAAACCGAGATTAACAAGAAAAAAAAACAAACAAACAAGCAGAAGTTTACAAACAGGTGTACCTCATCTATACATAGAAGATACCCAGGAAAAATAAGTAACTCCTTGAGGAGGCCTAAGCCACCAATTTAAAATACCATCTTTAGTGAAAGACGAAAGAAAAGTGTGGGAGGTCAGTTATAGGAAAGTTACCAGGAAAATTAGGGTAAACAGGGTAATGTTTGTTATGCAGGTTTAAGTTAGTTTCTCCTCTAGTGATAATATTCTCCCAAGGTTTAGAGTCCTCCTTCTCTTCCTGATACACAGAGATAGACACACTTAGAAATGGAGATTTAATTTATAAATACAAATTTTCCTTACAAAAAGGCATCTTCATTTCTGGTTTTAAAGCTTCCTCTATGTATGCTGTTTTGTAAAAATAATCAGCTTAAAATAATCTTGTACCAAGGAAACATATTTTGGGGTGGCTGATTTTGTTACTCTTCAAAATGTCCTTTATCCAGGACATTTCCACATTCAGAAAATTCATGAGATTCTTCCAATGACTGTTTTATTAATACTTTTTCAACATAACTGCTTTCCTGAAGAGGACTGTCTAATTTTGGTCTTTAAATTGTCACATCTACTGGGGTGTATAGGAGGCAGTGTTCAAAATCATCCCAAAGAAAAAGAAATGCAAGAAAGCAAAGTGATTGTCTGAGGAGGCTTTACAAATAGCTGAGGAAAGAAGAGAAGTGAAGGGCAAGGGAGAAAGGGAAAGATATGCCCAACTGATTGGAGAGTTCTGGAGAATAGCAAGGAGAGACAAGAAGGCCTTTTAAAATGAACAATGCAAAGAAATAGTGGAAAGCAATGGAATGGGAGAGACTAGAGATCTCTTCAAGAAAATTCAAGATATCAAGGAAATATTTCATGCAAAAATGGGCACAATAAAGGACAGGAATGATAAGGACCTAAGAGAAGCAGAAGAGATTAAGAAGAGGTTAGTAAGAATATACAGAAGAACTACACAAGAAAGATCTTAATGACCCAGATGACCATGATGGTGTGGTCACTCACCTAGAGCCAGACATCCTGAAGTAAGAAGTCAGCTGGGCCTTAGGAAGCATACTACAAACAAAGCTAGTGGAGGTGACAGAATTCCAACTAAGCTATTTAAAATCCTGAAAGCTGATGTTGTTAAAGTACTGCACTCAGTATGTTAGCAAATTTGGAAAACATAGCAGTGGCCACAGAACTGGAAAAGTTCAGTTTTCATCCCAATTCCAAAGAAAGGCAATGCCAAAGAATGTTCAAACTACCATATATGTTAGCACAATTATGCTCCAAATCCTTCAAGCTAGGTTTCAACCGTACATGAACTGAGAAATTCTAGATGTAGAAGCTGAGTTTCAAAGAGGCAGAGGAATCAGAGATCAAATTGTCAACATTCTTTGTATCGTGGAAAAAGCAAGGGAATTCCCCCAAAAAATCTACTTCTGGTTCATTGACCATGCTGAAGACTTTGACCGTGGATCACAAAAAACTGTGGAGAATACTAGAGAGATGGGAATACCATACCTCCTTACCTGTCTCCTGAGAAACCTATATGTGGGCCAAGAAGCAACAGTTTTTATAGAACTGGACATGAAACAACTAATGGGTTCAAAATTGGGAAAAGAGTATAACAAGACTGCATCCTGCCACCCTGCTTATTACCTTCTGGGCAGAGTGCATCACGCTAAATGCCAGGCTGGATGAAGCACAAGCTGGAATTAAGACTGCCAGGAGCAATATCAACAACCTCAGATGGGCAGATGATACAACTCTAATGGCAGAAATTGAAGAGGAAAGATCCTCTTGATGAGGGTGAAAGAGGAGAGTGAAAAATCTGGCTTAAAACTCAACATTCAAAAAACTAAGATCATGCCATCCGATCCCATCACTTCTTGGGAAATAGAAGGGGGACAAAATAGAAGCAGTGACAGATTTTATTTTCTTGGGCTCTGAAATCACCGTGGATGGTGACTGCAACAATGAAATACACTTGCTCCTTGGAAGGAAAGCTATGAGAAACCCAGACACTGTATTAAAAAGAAGAGACAACACTTTGCTGCCAAAGATCAAAGCTATAATTTTTCCAGTAGTCGTGTATGGATATGAGAGTTTGATCATAAAGCAGGCTGAGTGCCAAAGAATCTATGCTTTTGAATTGTGGTGCTAGAGATCTTCAGGGTCCCTTGGTCCCTTGGACAGGAAGAAGATCAGACCAGTCAATCCTAAAGAAAATCAACCCTGAATATTCACTGGAAGGACTGTTGCTGAAGCAGAAGCTCTAATATTTTGACCACTTGGTGCAAAGAGCTGACCCACTGGAAAAGACTCTGATGCTGGGAAAGATTTGAAGGCAAAGGATAAGGTGGTGGCTGAGGATGAGATGGTTAGATAACATCACCAACTCAATGGACATGAATTTGAGCAAATCCAGGAGGCAGTGAAGGACAGAGGAGTCTGGCATGCTGCAGTTCATTGGGTTGCAAAGAGTTGAACATGAGTTAGTGACTGAACACCAACAGGGATGAACAGTGGATTCTAACTGGAGCCATTCTCTACTCTCAGTGCTACTGATGCAGAAAATTCAACTTCTCTGTACACCTGTGCTGAACCAAATCTCAGAGACAGAGTTTGGGGTGACATAGAAAAAGATAGCTTTATTGTTTTGCCTGGCAAAGGGGGACACAGTGGGATAATGCCCTCAAACCCATATGTCTCAACTTGAGGAAGATAGTGACAAGTTTTATAGTAAAAGAAAGCATGATAAGCACATGGACATTCTTCTAATGGGTTGGTGATGAGCTAAGTAGGAGTCAGCACCAAAACCTTCAAGTCCAGCTGGTCTGGGATCTACATGCTTGTAGGCAGCATATCATTGTTAATCATTAATTAACTTCTCCCATCTGGAGGAGGATTCAGTATCTGCAAAATAGATTAAAGATATTTTTGTTTGTATCCTCTGATGGGGAAACAGTACCTTGCCCCAAGGCTACTCTTGACTCTTTCTTCTTGGTCTCCCATTTACTTCCTTCCTCAATTAACTGTTGCTTGAACTCAGGGAAGGTCATGGAGGTTGAATGAAGGCTACTTCCTATAGTCAAAGAAATGGGGGACACAAAAGCCTTGTGCCCAGGAGCCCCTCAAGGCCTGCACAGTATCACTATTTCATCATGATTTGTATCTTAACTTGTGCACTAACATAAGTTAATGGGATAATTTAAGATGATTTTTTTTCATTCTCATCTCTACTAGGAATCACCACACCGCAGCATTGCTACTGTCTGCTGCCCCTGTAGTCTACATAGCTCTTGTTGGGAAAAAAAGTACTTTTTCTTTTGAGCGAACACTTTTTAAAGAAAAATATTCTTCCTACCACACTCATAAAGCAATGGAAAAAACAAACAAACAGAGAAATCACTGATGACATCTTCTCCATTATTCCATTAGTTTATTTATACCATGTCAGTGACCTTTGTCTAGTTTCTTTTTCTTTTCCTCAAACTCTACCCAATTATGTTCTTTATTGAGGTTCAACATTAAGCCATAGATGGTTTTCATTAGGGAATGAGGCTGCATTCCTTTTCTTAACTGTGCCTGTTTTTGGTGTGTGCTTCTAAGTAGAAACCAAGACTGAAGTCTGTCCCTAAAGAAGCTTCCAGAGAGGAGGGCTTCCAGAGGGGCCCCAAAGAAGTGATGGTGCTGAAGGCAACGGAACCATTCACATATGATGTCACAGGAAGCAAGGAGATGTTCCATGCCACAGTGGCTACTGAGAGTCAGTTCTTCCAAGTGAAGGTTTACAATGTTGCCCTGAAGGAGAAGTTTATCCCCAATAAAGTCATTGCCATATCAGATTATATTGGCCGCAATGGGTTCCTGGAAGTGTTCAATGTCTTATCTGTGTCTGATGTTAAACCTGAACGAAAGATGGAGATCTCTAAAAGCCTAATTCAAAAGGCAAAGGCAACTCCTAAAATCAGTCATCTTCATCTGCAAGATCCAGGAACATTTGTGAATGGGGTTTTTCTGGTGCATAAGGTAAGTCCACATCATTGTTTTGCAATATTTCTTCTGCAATCCCAGAATTCAGAAGTCTTAACTGCCAAATGAATATAGTTAACTTCATAAATACAGGAACTCAAAGCCCTTCTGACCAGGGATAGTTGGGTGCAGTCTTTCACTTCAGAACATAGGGCTGATAATTTCTTAACATTCTTCTTGCCATAACAAAATACAAGTTTTTAAGAAAGTGATTCACCAGAAATCATAGTATTTTATGAGCTGTACTGATCCATTCACAGCCACCCTGTGCAGAGTTTATATTTATATTTATCTACTAACATTATTAACATGTTATCATAGAGAGAGCACTTCTTATAATTGTGTTTTTTTTTTTTTTTTGAGTTCTACCTCATCTATTTCAGTGACAGTTTAGGTTAATTTGTGAATAAAGAATTGTTCTTTCAAGATTGGATTTCAACTGTGACAAACAAGATGAGAAATCAATACACTGCTTTGCCCTAGAATCTGCTCTCATCAATAATTAGCTAAGATTCTGATCATCTGAACCGTAAAGTGTTCTCACATTTTCACATTCTTTCATCAAAAAGTTGTTGAGCCAAAATCTTTAGCGTTAATTAAGATGAGAGATATGGATATTGAAAAAATGTGAGAAACCAAGTCACTTCATTTTTAAATTTATTAATATGGACAGTAAAAGGTAGAATTTAGGTGAATTCTTAGAATCAGAGTAGGTATTTCAGTCCCAATGCTTCATAGAAATACTTAGCTGATCTAACTTTTATGTAACTTTTATGTAATATGTATGTAACCTAACTTTTATGTAATATGTTTCATATTCCATTATATATGTCTTCTAGGGTGGCTGTTTACTTATCCCCTGTTTTTTGTGCACTATGTTATAGAGACTGTGCATACATGAGCGTTAACAGAATTGATGAGTAACATAAGTGACATAGAAACTAGAACAATGGAATGAGATGATCTATAGTCAAGATTTGGGCAGATTAGGGAAGAATGAATAAATACAGAAGATAAAGGAAAGAATTACATATTGAAATAAAAATCAACTGAAGGAGGATTTGTAGCAATTTTTTTAGATTCATCATAAGACAGGAATAGTCTTTCTTCTCTGTTCTTAGGGAAATCCAAAAAAGCCTCTAATGCTTATCAGACCACACCACATTTAAGTTCCTTAAGAAATCTCAGCTATTCTTAGATGGAAGCAGGAAAAATTAGGAAAGTAATCCCTTTTTCTAGAACGACCCAGCACACAAACACCTAAAGGAAGAAAAGATAGAGAATTTAAATGGGAGGATAAACTGAACAAGATATCTTACACTGTTTGAAACCTGTAATACTAGACCTCCAGCTCGTATTAACTGTTCTGAGAGAAAAGTGTCCACTAACACCCTCCATTTTTCAAAGTTGTGGTAATTCCTGATCCAGTTCTCAAAAGATGAATGCTAATTTTCTTTTGCAGAAATGGGTATGTAAAGAATTCATATATTATGTAATACAAGATGATACAGGAGTGATGGAAGTCATGGTTTATGGACAGCGGCTGACCAGTATCAACTGTGAAGAAGGTGATAGACTTACACTCGTGTGCTTTGAATTGGCAAACATTGGGAATAAGAGGCAGCTGAGATCTGTAATTCATAGTTTCATCAAGGTGAGATCTTCTGGTGGGTCATCGTTGTTCCAAAGTGGAAGTCTTTAAGAAAATGATACCGCTGCTATTACACAGAGTCCAGCAGGTGGAATAGCTAATCCTTGTCATTAGCAGGTGTAAAGTTCCTTTTCATCATTCTTTTTTTAAGGATATTTTTAAACTTATTTTTTTGTACTGAAATATAGTTAAAGTGTAGGTTAGTTTAAAGTGTACAGCAAAGGGATTCACTTATGCACACACGCACATATATTTATATATTGTATTCACACACACATGTATATATATATTTATTTTAGATTCTTTTCCATTATAGGTTATTATAAGAAACCAAGTATAATTCTTTGAGCTATACAGTAGGTCCTTGTTATTTACCTATTTTATATACTGTAATGTGTATATGTTAATCCAAAACTCCTAATTTATTTCCCCTCCCCCCACCACTATCCCCTTTGGTAACCATAATTTTTTTCTGTGTCTGTCAGTCTTTTTGTGTTTGGTAAGTTCATTTATATCTTTCTTTCTTTCTTTTTTTTTTAGAATCCACATGTAAGTAATATCATATATTTGTCCTTCTTTGTCTGACTTACTTCACTCAGTATGACAATCACTAGGTTCATCCATGTTACTGCAAATGGCATTATTTTATCCTTTTTATGGCTGAGTAGCATTCCATTGTTACCCCCCATCTTCTTTATTCATTCATATGTTAATGGGCATATAGGTTGCTTTCATGTCTTGGCTATTGTAAATAGTGCTGCTATGAACTTTAGGTTGCATGTATCTCTTCAAATTAGTTTTCTCCAGATATTTCCCCAGGAGTGTGATTGTACGATGATATGGTAACTCTATTTCTAGTTTTTTAAGGAACCTCCATACTGTTGTCCAGAGTGGATGCACCAATTTATGTTCACACCGAGAGTGTAAGAGGGTTTCTTTTTCTCCACATCCTCTCCAGCATTTGTTACTTGCAGACTTTTTAGTGATTGCCATTCTGACTGGTGTGAGGTGATAGTCATTGTATTTTTGATTTTCATTTCTCCAATGATAAGCGATACTGAGCATCTTTTCATGAGTCTATTCTCCATCTATATGTCTTTACAGAAATGCCTGTTTAGGTCCTCTGCCCATGTCTTGATTGGGTTTGTTTTTTGATATTAAGCTGTATGAGCTGTTTGTATATTTTGTAAATTAATCCCTGTTGTTAGCATCCATTGCAAACACTTTCTCCCAGTCTGTGGGTTGTCTTTTTGTTTTATTTATGGTTTCCTTTGCTATGCAAAATCTTTTAAGTTTAATTAGGTCCCATTTGGTTATGCTTGTTTTTATTTCCATTACTCTAGGGGACTGATTCAAAAAATATTGCTTCAACTTACTTCAAAGATTATTCTGCCTATATTTCTGATAGGAGTTTTAGTGTATCCAGACTTACATTTAAGTCCTTAATCCATCCTGAGTTTAATTTTTAATGGTGTTAGAGAATGTTCTGGTTTGATTCTTTTAGACATACCTATCAAGTTTTCCCATCACCACTTACTGAAGAGACTGTCTTTTCTCCATTGTATATTTTTGCCTCCTTTGTCATCATTTAATTGGCCATAAGTGTGTAGGCTGCTTTCTGGGTTTTCTAGCTTGTGCCATTGAGCTATCTATCTATCTATCTATCTATCTATCTATCTATCTATCTATCTATTTTTTTTGTGTGTGTGTGTGGCAGTACCATACTATTCTAATGACTATAGCTTTGTAGTATTGTCTGTAGTCAGGGAGCATGATTGGTCCAGCTCCATTTTTATTTCTCAAGATCATTTTGGCTATTTGTGGTCTTTTGTGGTTTTATGCAAACTATAAACTTTTTGGAGTTCTGTGAAAAATGCTACTGGTAATTTGATAGGGATTGCATTAAATCTGTACATTGCCTTAGGTAGTATAGTCATTTGAACAATATTGATTCTTCTAATCCAAGAACATGGTATATCTTTCCATCTGTTTGTGTCATCTTCAGTTTCCTTCGTTAACATCTAATAGTTTTTATTTAAGGATATTTTAAATCATATTAAAGAGAGAAACTTCAGAAAGTCTATCAAAAACTATATCTAAGCTAAATATTGTAAAGTTGTTTGAATTTTCAGATCAGGTGGATTAATTATTAAATTTTGACTTTTTAAGTTTATTTCAAATACTGGCTGTATGATTTGCTAGTTGACTAATGACTTAAGTACTAGAAACTTCTGATTCATCATCTATAAAATGGAGGAAATATCTTTTATCTCAGAGGGTAGTTACTTGCCCATTTCAGATCTATTAATAAATGATCAAGGATGTCTCTGAGCCTTTCAGAATACAAAGTTACCTGCCTTTGGTGAGATACACATGCTGGTCAACAACAGAGGTGACTGGTCCTACAGGACAAATTCTATGGTTTTTGTCAAACTCACACATTCATGTGGAATGAATTCTTTGAATACTAACAAAGGCTTCTATGAGCATACTTTGCTTTATTATACTTCACTTTCTTGTGCTTCATACATATTTGCTTTTTTAAATTTATTTATTGTACAAATAAAGGATTTGTAGCAATCCTGTGTAAAGCAAGTCTCCTGGAGTCATTTTTCCAAAACATTTTTCACTTTGAGTGTCTGTGTCATGTTTGGCAATTCTCTTAATATTTCAAGCTTTTTCTTGAATTTGTTGTTTTGATCTGGGGTTAGTGATCTTTGATGTTACTATTGAAATCATTTTGGAGTGCCATGAACTGCATGCTTGTATAAGATGGGGAACTTCTTTGATAAATGTTATGTGTGTTCTGAATGCTCCCCTGATGGACAATTCCCCCATCTCTCTCTCTCTCCTTGGTCTCCCAATCCCCTGAGGCAAAACAATATTGAAATTAGGCCATTTAATAACTCTATAGAAGCTGCTAGGTGTTCAAGTGAAAGGAAGTGTTATACATCTCTCACATTAAATCAAACTCTAGAAATGATTAAGCTTAGTGAGAAAAGAAAAAAAAATGTCAAAAGTTAGGCCTCTTGTAACAGACAAGTTGTGAATGCAAAAAATTTTTTTAAAAATTAAAAATGTTATGCAAGTGAACCTATGAATGATAAGACAAAAAAACAGCCTTATTGTTGACATGGAAAATTTTTGTGGTCTGGATAGAAATCATTCTCAGGGAAAAGCCCTAACACTTAAATATTGTGAAGGCTGAGAGATGTAGGAAATCTGCAGAAGGAAAGTTTGAAGCTAGCAGAAGCCGATTCATTAGGTTTAAGGAAAGAAGCTATCTCTAACGTAAATGCACAAGGTGAAGCAGCAAGTGTTGCTGATATAGAAGCTGCGGAAAGTTATCCAGAAGACCTAGCAGAGATGATTGATAATGATTGCTACACTCAACAACAGATTTTCAGTGAAGATGAAGCAGTCTTGTATTGTAAGAAGATATCATCTAGAACTTTCATAGAGAAGAGAAGTTAGTGCTGGCTTAAAAGCTTCAAAGGACAGCCTGACTCTACTGTTATGGGCTAGTGCAGCTGGTGACTAAGTTCTAAAAATCTCAGGGCCCTTAAGAATACTAAATCTTCTCTGCTTTTGCTCTTGTAAATGGCACAATAAAGCCTGGATGACAGTACATCTGTTTACAACATGTTTTACTAAGTATTTTAAGTCCACTGCTAAGACCTACTGTTCAAAAAAAAGAAAAAAAGATTCCTTTTTAAAATATTACTGCTCATTGACAATGCACCTGATCACCCAAGATCTCCTATGAAGATATATGAAGAAATTAATGTTGTTATCATACTAACATAACATCCATTCTGCAGCCCAAGGATTGTGATTTAAGAAATACATTTCACAAAGCTATAGCTGCAGTGAAAGATATGACTCTTCTGATGGATCTAAATGAAGTCAAATAAAAACTTTTGGAAAGGATTCAGCATTCTAGATGTCATAAAGAACATTCATATTTCATGGGAAGAGGTCAAAATTCCAAGATGAATAAGCATTTGAAGGAAATTAATTCCAGTCCTCATGGGTGATTTTGAAAGTTTCATGACTTCAGTGAAGGAAGTAATGACGGATGTGGTAGATACAGAAAATGAACTAGAATTAGAAGTGGAGCCTGAAGATGTTACTGAATTGTTGGACTTCGATGATAACTTTAACAGATGTGGTGTTGTTTCTTGTTGTTCTTGTTCTCTAAGTCATGCCCAGCTCTTTGTGACCCAATGGACTGCAGCATGCCAGGCCTTTCCCTCCTTCACTATCTCCCAGAGTTTCCTCAAATTCATGTCCTTTGACTTGGTGATACTATCTAACCATCTCTGGGTGAGCAAAGAAAATAGCTTCTTGAAATGTCATCTACTCCTGAGGATGATGCTGTGAATATTGTTGAAACAATAAAGGATTTAGAATATTACACAAACTTAGTTGATAAAACAGTGGCAGGGTTTGAGAAGTTTGACTCTAATTTTGAAAAAAATAAAAGTTATACTATGTCTATTGTTGGCGAGGAAAGAAAATTTCTTCTACGCTTCTAAGTTTTTTAGACTGGATTAAGAGTTAAAATGAGATAGATTAACAAGAGAAATGCAAACAAAAGTTTAATAACATGTATACGTGGAGAGTATACATGTCATACTTGCTTGCTCCTTGGAAGAAAAGTTATGACAAACCTACACAGCATATTAAAGTTGCAGTTCTTGAGTTCACAGAGAATTGGAAACAACTGAGCTACTGAACTGACTGATTCATGAAGAGACCCAGAAAAAATGAATAGCTCACCAAGATGGCTGAAACCCTCAACCTAAATACCATCTTCAGTTAATGATAAAAGAGAATGTCAGGGGTAGTTTTTTGAGACCTCCACTGGGGAGAAAGACAATTCACAGAGAGATGGAAAAATGAATGTTTTAGTAAACAAATGTTTGCTGGACACGCAGAGATCAGACACAGAGTGGACTCTACTCTCTGGGCCCTGCAAAGTTTCCTCTACCACACTTAGCCCATATTCTTTGCAGATTCCTCTTATGAGACCTTTATTCTGAGAACAGCCTCTATCTAAATTCTCTAGGTAGCTAAGTTCAGTTCAGTTGTCACTCAGTTGTGTTTGACTCTTTGTGACCCCATGGACTGCAGCACGCCAGGCCTCCCTGTCCATCACCAGCTCCCAGAGATTACTCAAACTCATGTCCATTGGGTCGGTGATGCCATCCAACCATATCATCCTCTGCCATCCCCTTCTCCTCCTGCCTTCAATCTTTCCCAGCTTCAGGGTCTTTTCAAATGAGTCAGTTCTTTGCATCAGGTGGCCAAATGATTGGAGCTTCAGCATCAGTCCTTCCAATGAATATTCAGGACTGATTTCCTTTAGGATGGACTGGTTGGATCTCCTTGCAGTCCAAGGGACTCTCAAGAGTCTTTTCCAACATCACAGTTCAAAAGCATCAATTCTTTGGTGTTCAGGTTTCTTTATAGTCCAACTATCATATCCATACATGACTACTGGAAAAACCATATCTTTGACTAGACGGACTTTTGTTGGCAAAGTAATGTCTCTGCTTTTTAATATGCTGTCTAGTTTGGTCATAACTTTTCTTTCCAGGAGTAAGCATCTTTTAGGTAGTAAAGAGGATGTGAAAAGAAAGATTTCCAGAGACTTCTATTTCTTAAAAATAATCAATGTAAGTTAATCCTCATGCCTGAAAAACATTTTTGGGGGTGATAAATTTCCTCTACACTATCAAACAGCACTGCATACTACAAAGAGATTTTCCATGAAAGGAAAACTCAATCAGTCCAACAAAATTCATCATTGTCTTATTTAAGAAATTGCCACCACTAACCCAAGCTTCAGCAAACATAACTTCACCAGTTGGCAGCCGTGTCAATATCCAGGCAAGATCCTTCTCCAGAAAAAAAAAAAAAGATTATGACTCACTGAAGATTCAGATAATGGTTAATGTTTTTTAGTAATAAAGTATTTTTTTATTCAATTATGTACATTGATGCTCTTACACAGTTAATAGACTGCAGTATAGTATTGTATAAACATAACTTTTATATGTACTGGGAAAGCAAACAAATTATGTGCCATTTTATTGCAATATTCTCTTTGTCACAGTGGTCTGGAACTGAACCCATAATATCTCTGAGGTATGCCTGCACTGGAATGCAAACAGATCAAACTCAAAGGCTGACATATCCAGGCACTCAGAAATGCACATGCTCTTTAGTCTTGCCAGTTCTCAGGCTCTCAACGAGATATCCCAACTCTTCCTTCACAGACAGCATGGCACCAAGAATATCTTTTGCCCCTTCCTTCTACCTTTCCTCCCAGTAAGAACTTTCCCTTCAACTCTTGGCCTTGAGTATAATTGCTTCTTCCTCTCTCTTGTTCTCCAACAACTCCTGCCTGTCCACATGCATTTATGCTGGATATGAGTGCATATCTCATTTGAGGGTCCCAACAAAGAATTGGGGTGGTGGCTCAAAAGTTAGGAATTCACTAAATAAGCTAGGTGAGAGTCAGAGAAGAGACTCTTAGGTAGGAAGAGGAAAAGGGATGTGACAGTGTGGATGAAGGGAGAAATGTATAATCAGGTTCATCTCATTGTTTATCTTTTTCTTCTTCAAGGTCACCAAGGTCAAGCAAAGAACAACCACACAATCCTGAGTCATATACAGAAACCTGCTCAGAGCTGTTCTTCTAAAAACCTGGATGTCATTAATATTGATGTTTATGGAACTAAGATGCAATTAAAGCAAAAATGTGTGTATATATATACACACACACACATATATATATATATACACACAGAAACATATAGTGTACTATATTAGCTGTTACTTGTTAGGAATGAAAAGCTTTTCATTTTTTTATACTTTTCTGTAACATCTCAATGTCCCATTTTGCATCTATAACTTTTATAACTTGGAAAAAAATAATAAATATATTTTTCTTTCATAAAGTTATGTACCCCTAGGAGTCTAATTCATTGTTTTGTTGCTTAAAAAGAAATAGTCATCTGTGGCCTGAAAATCAGATAGAGACACCTAAGCCTCAAGCAATATTTGAATTTATACTTTGTGTGTGATCTTTATAGGATATAACTCTGGTCAAGAATGAACAGGTTGAGCAAGCTGTGCTCAAAGAACCCAGGAGGACAGCAGACCAACTGAAATTCCATCTGTCCTTCAATTGCCAACCCCCATCCCAGAGTGGAGCTGCTTTAGTAAAACAATGTTATCTTTTCAGAATTGACCTCCTGGAGGGGCCATAAGTGGGTAATTTGCTGACAAAATAAGGCAGCTTTTGGCTATTTGCCGGAAGTCACTAGTACATTTTGAAAGTAACTCTAGCCCCTCTGATGTGAAATAACTGGTTCCACTTTTTATTCAGCAGCTCAGTAGTTCAGTTATACTTCATGGTCCTCACATGTGTGGATCCGATGAGAAAGTTGCTCCAGGCAAAGACTTGGATTAGGCAAGCACTGAAGAATTATTAATTTACTTTACAGTACAGTGGCAGAAAGTAACTAACACTGATTTTACAATGTGTTCTTTTACATTTATTTTTTTGAAGTACAGTTGATTTATATTGTTAATTTCTGCTGTACAGCACACTGATTCAGTTATACATATTAATGTATTCTTTTTGTATTATTTAATAAACCACTATGGTTTATTACAGGATACTGAGTATAGTTTTCTTAGAGTGTATTTGTTGATCCCACATTTGGTACTTGATATTTTGCAATTACTTTGTGTCACTTAATCTTATACCAGCTCTAGAGGGTTGATTGGATTCTTTTTTTTTTTTCCTTTAACTCTGCTAATAAGAAAAATAAGAGACAGAATGGCAAGATCATGTTTTTTAATGATTAGAACAGTTCCATTATAAAAAGAATTTCCCCCATGCCACTTTATTGTCGATGCTTTCTTTAATCCAAGCTCCTGGAAACCACTAATATAGTTTTTTATTTTTTTTAAGTTATTTTATAATAGGAGGGAAATTGCCTTAGTGCTGTGCTGGATTCTGTGTACAGCAACTCGACTCTAATAATTATACATATCCCCCTCCCTCATCCCAACTGTCTAGGTCATCAAAGAGCACCATCTGGGCTCCTGGTATTATACAGCAGCTTCCCACTAGCTATCCATTTTACACTTAATACTGTATATATTTGATGCTGCTTTCTCAATTCATCCCACCCTCTCCTGCCCCTGCTGTGTCCATAAGTCCATTCTCTGCTTCCGCGTCTCCATTCCTTCCCTGAACGTCAGTTCATCAGTATTACATTCCTAGATTCCAGAAACAAAAACAAATGCATGTATTAATGCATATGTAGGGAATCTAGAAAAGCTTAAAGTGAAAGTTGCTCAGTTGCATCCAACTCTTTGTGACCCCATGGACTATACAGCCCATGGAATTCTCCAGCCCAGAATACTGGAGTGGGTAGCCTTTCCCTTCTCCAGGGGATCTTCCTGTCTATGGCCATACCACCCTGAACGTGCCCGATCTTGTCCAGGGGATCTTCCCAGCCCAGAGACTGAGCCCAGGTCTCCTGCATTGCAGGCAGATTCTTTACCAGCTGAGCCACCAGGAAAGCCAAAGATTACTGGAGTGGGTAGCCTACCCCTTCTCCAGTGGATCTTCCCAACACAGGAATCGAACCAGAGTCTCCTGCATTGGAGGTGGATTCTTTACCAACTGAATAATCAGGGAAGGCCCTCTTAACTTAAACTTTCCCCTTTTCCAAAGTTTCCTAAGATGGAAGTTAAAATGGGTGTGGCATTTTGAGTCTGGCTGTTTTTACTTTGTATAGTGTGTTTAAGATTTATCCATGTAGTTGTGTGTATTGTTTTTTTCCTTTTTATTTCTGTGTAGAGTTTAATGTGTGGACTCACTGAAGTTTATCCATTCTGCAAGTGAGGAACAATTGGATTGTTGACACTCACATAGTTACAAATAAAACTGAGGCAAATACTCACATGCAGATTTTTGTGATGGACAGGGAGGCCTGGTGTGCTGCGCTTCATGGGTTTGCAAAGAGTTGGACACGACTGAGCGACTGAACTGAACTGATGTTATCATTCAATGAGTAAAACTTTTGGGGTGACATTGTTGGTTTATATGGTAAACGTATTTCAAATAGGTATGAAATTGCCAAACTGTTTTCTAAGGTGACTATAGATTTTTCATTCCCTGGAGCAAGCTGTGAGAGTTTCAGTTGCTCTGCATCTACCTCAGGATTTAGCATTGTAGGTGAATGTTAATTAAAAAAACAAAACAAACAAACAAAAAACAAAAAACTGTCCAACTCGCTTGCAAAGCAGTGTACCATTTAATATTCCCACTACCATTGTACGACAGTCTTAACTCCTCTTATCCTCATCAGTCGCTGGTGTGGTCAATCTTTTAAAATTTTAGTAATTCTAATTCCTGCATAGTGGTGGCTCACTGTAGTTTTAATTTTCATTTCCCTAAAGATAAATTAGTTTAAGCATCTTTTTATGTGTTTATTTGCCACCTGTGTATCTTTTTTTTTGCTCATCTTAAAAACTTAACTGTTTGTTCTCACAGTAATGAGTTTTGGGAATCCTTTATAAATTATGGCTTTAGGATCCTTAGTAGCTATGTGACTAGAAAATATTACATCTCAATCTATGGCTTGTCTTTTCATACTTTTAAGGTATCTTTTGAAAAGACATGTTTATTTTGATGAAGTTTAAATTATCAAAATTTTTCTTATTAAGATTTTTTAATACTTGGGGGGAAATCAAAAGATGAATGTGACACAGGAAAATTGTATAAAATTCAAATTTCAGTGTCTACCATGCAGTTTTATTAGAACACAAACATGCTCTGTGGTTTGTCTATAGCTGCTTTTATAGCCAATGCAAAGTAAACATCTGTAACAGAGACTTTAGGGCTCACATAGATTAAAACATTGGTTGGCCATGAAGTTTGTTCAGGTTTTTCTGTATTACCCTACAAGAAAAACCCAAAATAACTGTTTGGCCAACCCAATATGTACTATTGGATGTTTTACTGAAAAAATTTTCCAATGTTTCTTTTTGAACCTCAGTTATCTTATAGAACATAGAAAATATGAGAAAATAAATTTTATATTTGCTTCATTTTTCCTATTATCAGTGAGGCTGACAATCTTTTCATACTCTAAACCTTTGATTTTTTGCTGTGAATTTGGTTATTTGTTGTGTATATTAACTTGTATAGCTACAAATAGTACATATTTTCCATTAATTATTTTTTCATTCAATAGATATTGAACATCTATAATATTCCTGAATATTTACATAGAGCAGAACCCTATCCTCACCCCAAACTAAACCCGGCTATGGGCTTCAGTAAATGAGAAATACACTTTTATTGTGATAACATGCTGAAATGTTGGAATTGTTTATCCAGGAATTATCCTATCCCGACTCATCAGGAGTTAGGAAGGAGCCTGTGAGCTGCTGCTCCCCAGTAACTCACAATCTGGTTGAAGAGGTTGTACATTTCAGGTATTCTTCAATTAAATGCTTGGTTAGACCAGTTGATCTGAATTGGTCCCTTTCATTTCAATTTTTTGACCTTAATAACCTGGATGGAGACAAAATACACATGGTTGAGATGAGGCTGATCAGTTATCCCTCCTCTGCTTTCAGTGACTCTGTCCTCTTAAAGTGCATTTTTCTTTTCTTCTCATAAAATTATCTTCCTTTCCTCCCAGTGGGCTTCCCTGGCAGCTCAGATGGTAAAGAATTCATCTGCAGAGTGGGAGACCTGGGTTTGACCCCCGGGTTGGGAAGATGCCCTGGAGAAGGGAATGGCTACCCACTCTAGGATTCTTGTCTGGAGAATTCCATGGACAGAGGAGCCTGGCGGCCTACAGCCCATGGGATTGCACAGAATTGGACACGACTGAGCAACTTTCACTTTTACTTTCTTTCACTTCCTTCCAGTACATTGTTCACTCTTGGATAATTCTCCTGAAGTTACTATCTGGCTTGAGATATACACTCCTACTTAACAAGGGCACATATACCAGTGTCTCAAATCTCTACCCCACTCTTAAAAAGGGAGATAGCAGCCAGTATAGACAGTGCTGAGACCTGGGGATGAAGACCAGGTGGTGCCTGCAGGATGTATTGGTACAAGGGAGAGATGAAAGGTCACGAGTAAGGGTTTGCCCTGACTCAGTTTCCCTGGACTACATGTAAGGATGGCTGAAGTGCCTCTGAGAAATGTGTTCTTAAGGTATACCTGGACTATGTCTATTTTTAAGATACATCTTTCAGAATAATTTAACTGACTTTGGGCAGTTGTCTGCATTAGACTTACATTGTTACCAATGAACTGTTTGTGGAGCTGTGTGGGTATCGCAGGGTGTGTCTCTGCCTTATGAAGCCCATGTCCTCTTAATTGTGTGTCTAGGGTGTGTATCTTCTAAAAAGGCAGGCTCCTAAGTTCTCCTAAATTCTCTTAAGCTCACAGAACTAAATATCAGGGTCTTCCACACCATATCCTATTCAATAGCACCTGTCCAGTTTGCTGAAAGCAAACACAAAGCATTATCCCTTTGGAGAGCTGACTTTCCTCCATGAAGTTCCCACCTTAATGAAACTATGAACTCCAGATTTCAGGTGTAGTTTCTTTCCAGTCTTTGACAGCTCAAAGAATATAAATTGAAGTTTATCCCCTTCCTTGCACTGGATTTTTTCTCTTTTCCAAGCACCAATACTTCTATCCTTCCTGTGTTGTCATTTAGATTATATAATGTATGATTCCTCTGGTGTGCTTTCTGCAAAGATAAAATCAAAATCCAACTTTTGGTAATCTAATTAAGGAATGCCACATCAATCAGACATCAGAAGTGCCAGTAAAAGCCTCCAGAAAGAGACATAAGGGAAAAACTACAGGCTTGAAACTGGCAGATATATAGTTAATGTGCTGTGCTGTGTTT